TTAAAACCTTATCAGCTAATCACAGAGGTAAAGCTGCCAACATTCAGTCATATACCTATAGACAAGTAAAAAAATAAAACAAAAAGTAATGTGGCGCTACTACCATATAAATCCTTCACATATTGACACACTGAATTTGCATAAATATAAGTGAAATAGTGCAAATGAGTGAACAAAGACCAAATCAACAATACATAAACCGTGATGGACAACAGTGTAAAGTTACCTCACACAATAACACGTGTAACAAGTGGAAGGTCCAATTAGGGACCAAGCTTAGGATGATAGTGCAAATCCAAATGGATCTAATAGTGATCAACAGACAACATAAAAAGTCCAAAAAGGGGACTCAGCATAAATGTGTGCTGCAAAACCTCCCACCAGAACAAATAAATTGTTCCAACCACACAAAAAAAAGAAATCACAAGTGCATTCCAAAAAACATATAATTAAGTCTAATCATGCAAAAATTTTTTTTTTTTATATATATAAACACATAATACAACAGATAATATAGTGAAATATAGTAAAAAAGTCCCGTGAAGTGAAAAAACACTTATCAGCAATCAACAAAATAAAGTCCACATAAATTCTTTAAACACAAAGTGATGACAGGTGTGCGAAGATATCCAAAATGGCTGAATTGTCCGCTCACCTCCCTCTTGCGACCCACACAGGGTCAAAGAGCCTTTAGGATCACTAATACTTGGATCCTTAATACCCGGGACTCCTCCACAGCTCTCCACACTGGTCTCCCCCTCAAGTACAGGCTCAAATACAGGCTCACAGGACAGCAGATCTCCTCTTTAGGCAATAAGATGGTAAATCCCTCAGAAAATATAATTAAATACTTGCATTTATTCACTGATACAGCAGTAATAAAATCTAATATGCTCTCACATTATATATCATCTTTCCCATCGCATATAATTCAAACCTCAGATCAGATGTAGTTGCATGGGTGTCCAAGGTGTCTCAAGATGGCGTCCGACCAGAAGTGCGTCACAGCCGACGCCTATCGTCACGCTTGTTACGTGACTTCATCAGGGCAAGTTTAATTTATGCAAATTCAGTGTGTCAATATGTGAAGGATATATATGGTAGTAGCGTCACATTACTTTTTGTTTTATAAAAAACCATGTGTGCTGTTGTGCGTATAAACAAAATTCATTTGTGAAGCCATTGGATTAGTAGATTTCAATTATAAAAAGGAGTTAGCATGCGAAAACCGATGTAAAATCCGAAAATGAATTTAATAATTTAGGCAGGATTCCCCCTAATGTATTGCAGTAATGCTTGTAACCTGCATTGTGGTTCCATTTATTATGCATGACACCCCCAACATATTAAGATAACCCATCCACATTAGTATGCCACAACACATGGTAGTGTGGTATTAGCAAAAAAGGTCATGTGCTATTTTAAACACATTAGCATGCATTGGCAGTCCATTTATTTTGAAAAGGTTTAACGCAATGCACATTAACGCATGATAATGCAAAGATATGTTTGGTCCCTTAGTAATCAAGGCTAAATATCTCAAAATCTTAAAAGATTTAGGATTTTAATGATATGTGAGAAATATCTTTGGGCCCACCTATTACCATATTTTTAGTACCAAATTTTTGCTCCATACTAATAGTTTTTTTTTAGTACCAAATTTTTGCTCCATACTAATTGTTTGATAGTGAATCCACAAATCCTGACCTTGTATTGCAGTGCATGTTGTTTAGATCATTTTATGTTTTCGGTTTGCTTTCACGTTTTCAACATCCAACTCACAAACTATATACATAACAAACTTTCAGAGATGCACATAGTGTGTAGATTGGTGGTTGTGAGTGTACCTCGTGATTGAAAGCCCACTAAGTTCTTGAGCAATGCTAGGCAGTTTTGGCAGGGCCTACTGTGCCCTTTCACTAGGGGTACCTTTGCTCAAGGGCTCTCACCAATGTCCGGGACCAGGAAGGAACTGTGGTCATATGAACAGTCTAACCTTAAGGCAGTCTCCCAACTTAGAGAAGAGTAAACACTGAATGTAGTAATGAAGCCGAGTTTCTCTTTTAGGTGTTGTCCCATAGCTCTACACACAGTGACTTGGTAGCATGAGCCGAGCTGACTCCACCAACTAGCGTACCTCTGTTACCTCGCTCCAAGTAACAGAATGAGACACATAGCACAGATCTCATGTGTGTCCTGTTTCTCTTCCATACCTTACAGTTAGGCTGAGGGCCTCCATGATGCTGGTCTGCTCCCAGTTGCTATGGAAGACGGACCGCTAGGAAAGGAGCCCAATTAAGAACCTCCTCACTTGCAGAGGATATGTCACCTCCCGAAGGTACCACAACTTGACTGGTTGCCTTGTGTCTTTGGTGTGGACTTAGTTACCCTTAGTAACAACCTTGCTCTTGCTTGGTATATTCACTTGACACAGTAGTGTAGTATACTTCATACCATTATAGTGCTTTACAGGCCCTGAGTAGTTTAGCATATCTGCCATATGACACTCATGCACCCCTTTAGTAACTTCAGACCAGGCTCAACACAGTCAATAAGCTTTACTGAAAACTTTGTAAAGTAACATAATAAAGGGCATACAAAGTCCAGAACATGCAAATCCTGACTGTTTAGTGGCTGCCGAAGCATACCTTTTAAAGGTTCATTAACTGGTGGAAGTCCATGCTTGGCAGTGCTCAAGTCTCTTATGGGCGCAGCAGCCCACTCGCGAGCCAGCAAAAATAGCATTAATCCTTCCCTAACCCGGGCAGACTAGCTCTCTCATTAACATGATACATTCTCCTTGTAGGCAGCTGATTTCAGCCTGCCTACAAATGTAATACAGTTTCATATCAAATTCAGTCCTCAGCTATAATTTTGTACCCTCACAGATAAAGCGCAGACTTTAAAAATGTTTTCAGATATACAGTACATGTGAGAGACTCTTGCAAACCACCACTCAGCTGTCTCTAAAGCTGACAATAGATGGATTGAAATTCAACTGGTTCAGCAGACGCATTTTGATCCATCTATGGCCATTCTTGTTTGACAGAAGTTGAACTTCTCTCAAATGGTAATGTTGGAAAACCTTTATTGATCAGAGGCTGCAGTTGATTGAAGGAGTTTTGCGAGCAGTCAGAATACAATAGCACACTGGGGAGGATTCTTTCATCCACCTTACTTGTGTGGAGGAGAGAATCTATTTTTTTATCATATGGTCCGCTGGCTGAACAAAAAAAAAAGATTAACCTATGGGCAGCTTAAAAGCAAATACACAGTGGAACACTTTTCAGAGAGGTAGTCCACACCCATGTGAAATGAGCCTAATAAAACCATAAACATAATAATAGAAAATACCTCCTTTTAAATCTTCAATAAATCCACCTTTACTCCTATTAAAAATCTTCACTTCCTTCACGTATTCTTCTTTGTGCAGAAATTTTATAATATGTTCACCAATGAACCCAGAACCACCTGTCACCAGGTAAACCAAATCCTTGGCCATGCTCGCAGTGTAATGACTCTTTAATTAGAATCTGCAAAATTAAAACAGAGATTTTTACCTATAAGTATATAAGTGAACCCTCACTTTGTAAAAACAACATATTCGGTTTAGAATATAAATGAAAGCCAACATTTTTGTGTATGAATATAGAAAAAACATTATAAATACATTTTTCTAATTACTGATCACCTAACCTCTCTTCTCAGCCGCATAACAGCTTGGAGGGGTGAGCATGGAGAAAAAGCAGTACACTGATCTTCCCAGTGAATGGCTGGCTGTGCAATGGGGCATGTAAGCACAAGTCTGCTTATTGGAGGACAGGTAGGCTGTACTCTCAGCACAGTCACAAAAATGACCAGGCTGGTATGGATGTGCTCTCATGTTTAGTGTGGTCATTGTAAAATAGGAAACCAGAGGGAATAGCAAGAACACCAGGTATTTCACACAAAGGAAAAAATAGAAAGAGAAGAGGATACTTTTTAACACAAGTACATGGTACAACAGGTACATATTTGGAATATGAAATATTGGGTTAACATTTTATTTTACTACTTCCTGCCTACCCACAGTACCTTTTCTGCAGGTGGGCAGCATGGAAAGGTTGGATCATGTACATGTATGTCATCCAACCTGCTTGGGGAATGCAGCGCACCACTCCTGTGATTGCTGTCAGGTGGATTACAATTACCAGTAAATGGGCACCAGGTATTATGTGATTGCTATAATTGGTCATAGCAAAAAAAATATAAACATATAAAAAATATAAACAAAGTTTCATGAACAGATTTCTATTCATGGACAGCTTGCTTACGATTGTGATCTTTGATTGGCCCACAGAAATCACATATAATATATATACATATATATATATATATATATATATATATATATAAAAGGAGTGGCCTCTGGATGCTCCATCATTTCCCACCTCTGGGGTCTGGAAGCTGACTGAGTATCCTGCAGCTGGGCTCTGGAGGCTGACTGAATACTCCACCGCAGGATCCGAAAACTGGGCAAAAACCTGCTTATCATAAACCTGACGAGGCGCAACACTTGGAGCTTACAATTCTTGAACACAGCATAAGAGTTCCAATTCTGGGACTCCAAAGGCAGCCTGAAAACTTAACACTAGAATTATTGGTCCATACTGCTACCCTGACACCAGGGTGTCCCATCACAACTGGACCTTCCCCATTTAAGTAGCTAGAGATCTTTACTTTCCTTTCAGAATCAACATTTTCTCATTTTCTCTGGGACACTATACTACAAAATACTCCCACAAATGCGGGCCATTGATTGCAAACAAAATTTGTTAATTTGCTCACACAGAAAAATATTTTTCCTATCAAATTAATTCAAGACCATGTTGCAAAAATGTATACACCCCAATGAAAGTCTTAGGAGCAAAGCTAAATTTTAGAGGGCAAAATCCAAGGTGTCCAGCAGACAATTGATTATAAAAGGATGTTACTTAATGAAGAAAACCCCTTCCCATTTCATGCTGTCAGCAATGGCACCACCTGGAAGAGCAATGGCACCACATGGAAAAGAAAAGGCCTGAGAAAGAAAATAATTTCTTTACACAAGAATGATGAAGGTTACAAGAAGATCAGCAAAGCTTTACTTATCAGTCAGAATACTGTAGAAAAAGCGAAACAATAATTTAACAAAGATGGAACTGCAACCATCTCACAGAGATGTCCAGACCGTTAATGGAAGTTAACACCTCGACAGGAGCATCTTCTGATGAGGGTTGAAGAAAATCACCATGCGAGTTCATTGCAGTTAGCTAAGGATGTAGAAAGCCAAACTTGGGTGATTGTTTCCCATGATACAATAAGGCATACACTGCAGAGTTATGGCATCCTTGGATGTTGTCCACGTAGGAAGTCTCTCCTAAAGCCCATGCACATATGTACTCTGGTGTGATGAGACTAAAATACTTTTTTTGGGACTGATGGCTTCAAAACTGTATGGCGTCGCAAAGGTGGGGAGAACAAAGAAAAATGCATGGTGCCTACAGTGAAACATGGTGGTGGCAGTGTGCTTCTGTGGGGCTGTATGAGTGCTGCTGGTGTCAGGGAGCTGCATTTCATTGATGGTATCATGAATTCACAGATATACTGCTCTATATTATAAGAGAAGATGCTAACATCACTCCATGCCCTTGTTCGTCGTGCACTTTTCCAACATTAAAAAATACACATCTAAGGTCACTGTTGTATTTCTGAAGAAGAACAGGACGAAAGTGATTCAGTGGCCAAGTATGTCTCCTCATCTGAACCCAATCGAACACCTATGGGGAATTCTGAAGAGACAAGCTGAGCATCACTCTCCATCCAGCATCCAGGCTCTAAAAAAGGTTGTTCTTGAAAAATGGGAAAAGATGTTGCAATATGTAGCCAACCTGTTCATTCTATGCCTAGAAGACTTGGTGCTGTCTTTACAAATCATAGAGGTCATACAAAATACTAGATGTATTAGTTTTTGCTGTGGGGTGTATTCATTTTTGCATTAACTAATTTGAGTAAAACTGAAGATTTTGTAATCTAAATTAGATTTTTAACCTTACTTTCATGTAATGAGCTAAACAAATCTTCTACAAGACTCAGTTTTTCAGTATATATATATATATATATATATATACATATATATATATATATATATATCCCAGATTAAATGTTATATTTTATTTACAGAGGGAGAATGAGACATCTGATATGGAACAATTGGTCCCTTCACAATTTTTTTTAATGGTAAATTTTATTGAAATGTTCTCATGTTTTCAATATTCAAAAGAAAGAAAACAAAACCAAGTGAAATACAAAACCAAGACATGGCTCAGCAGTTTACAATACAAGATCAAATAACAGCATGTCTATACATACTAGTGCAGTAATAAAAGAAAAGGACCAAATACCCATGCACTGAGACAGAGACATGGCATAAGAAATATATCATTACGAATGTTTCAATGGCATAGGTATTTCAATGACCTCAGAGCCAATGAAAGTAAGTAATTTTGTACATGTAGGCACAGAGCACTATTCTGGAGTAGCCGTATCCTGGAAATCTAGCCAAAGGGAGCAGACCTTATCAAACTTCTTAAGGCATCCGCTCGCCTCATATGTCAATTTGTACATGGGCATTGCCTTATTAACAAGAGCAAGCCATAAAGACATGGAGGGGAGGACAGTGGATTTCCAATGCAGGTTTATTATTTCTTAGCATAGAAAACAGTACACATAGAAGTATTTTCAAAATATCATACCGTATAGTATAGACCGTGCTTTTATAGATGAACAATGTGCAACAAATTAAACAATATGCAACAAATTTAAGTGCTCAGTGCAAATTAATAAATACATTCAGCAATTCATAATATAAAAAGTATTTTTTCTCCCATTATAATCAAAAGTGCCCAGTGCCAAACAAATGTATCCAAAATGTGCAGGAAAGTGACACCATGGAGAATAGTACTCTTCTTCTCTTCCCAAAAGAAGCACACCACACTCTCCAGAAATATATGACCTCTTTTCTCAAAGAAGGTCAAACTTGCTTGTGATATTCCAAACGGATGTCAGATTCTTGAGCAAGCGATGATACTCCATGCATATGGACAATTGGATCTCATCATATATTGAGGATACTCCTGCACTTTTAGGAGACTCTGTGTAGATCTTCCTCACAGAGGGAAAGAGATAGAGGAACTTCTCATAGTGTAGTATTATCCAATTTATTTGAAAAAAGCTTTAAAATTGCACCTACATCAATGTAAAACAACCAGGTATATAGTAGCACAGAAATGAAATGTGAAAGGGCCTGCTTACGTTCCATCTGCAAGCCAACAACCGGAAATGATATGTCTCAGAAAGCACACGCAACTATCCACAGTGAAAACGCGCTACTATGAGAAAACTCACAGGGCTGCCATTCATTCTGAATAGCTTCCCCACACATGTAGAAATGCAGTGTGTTTGCAGCTGCAGAAACTGCATGGAAATCGCCGTACGATTTCCCTGCTGCACGCATTTTGAAAAAGGTGCATGCACCTTTTTCTGCCTGAAAGGCTGGCACAGCAGCCCATTCTAATGAATGGGACGCAGCACCTGAGCAAACATGCCCAGCACACATGCTACGGTGTGAACCAGGCCTAATAGGAGGGGTCAGGTAAATGTTAATATATCTTTGAATGAGTTGTTAGATGAGCACACCTAAATATCTAAAAGTGTTAAGTATTTTAAGAGGGCAAAAGCTTGGGATATGACTTGGATCCAAGGGGAAGATAATGGACTTTTCCCAATTCACCTTGAAGCCGGAAAATTGTCCAAAGTATGTAATAAAACTCAACAGTTTGGGAAGAGAGTGCTGTGGATCTGCCAAATAGATAAACAAATCATCTGCATAAAGGGACACCTTTTTTTCATGTCAATTAACAGCTAGTCTGTGTATACCAGGACCAGAGTTCTGCTAAAGGTTCTATAGCCAAGGCAAAAAAGATGGGTGAAAATGGACACCCCTGCTTAGTGCTTCTGGAAACAGAAAAAACAGAAAAGGGAGCTGCTATATAATTATTTACCTGTATCCAGGCCTGGGTTTTTAATACAATAATTACACTCACCAAAGGAAAGAGGGCACAAAACCAAATTTTGCAAGAACCTCTGGCAGGTATTATTTATTTATTTCAGGTACTTATATAGCACCATCAATTTACGCAGCGCTTTACATATATATTGTACATTCACATCAGTCCCTAACCCTCAAGGGGTGTACAATCTAAGGTATGGCTATTAACTGTTGGCACTATATAAATCCTGTATAATAATAATATTCGACAAAATCAAATGGATTATGGATGTCCAGGGCCACCACATTTCTGGAACTCATGTTGTCATGTGTAGCCTGCATATTTGTGAAAAGCCTACATACGTTTATGGTGGTTGAGCGACCAGGAATATATCATATCTGATTGGAGCCAATGCCAAATTTCTAAGAGGGCAAAAGGGGCCCCCTGACCACTGTAATAATTATAAAATTAGTTTCATTAAAAGATATGTATAAAGAGCTGGAACTGGATGGAACTGATGAACACAAATATACAGGGATACGGGCAACGTTTTGAAATGAACAAACACACACACCACACAGGTTGAACTGGATGGATTGGTGTCTTTATTCAACCTGTGTGACTATATAATGCAGACTACAAATCAACTACCAGCATATCAGCAAAGAGAAGCAAGCCCAACATCAGTTTCAGAGGAAACATTTTTCTCTCAAAGAAAAATTCAGATGTGAAATTTTCAATGTTATTTTAGATCAGTTGCCTGTTGCCTTACAAGAGTGCGGGATAGCATACCAATCAGTGTATGAGAGGTTCAAAGTAATAGTATATAGTCTACCTGATGCAGAGATAAAAACTGAGGCTAAGAAATCTATAAAGATAAAGAATTATCTGAGAACCACGATGACCCATGAAAGTATAAAGCCGGCCATAGATGGATTGAATCTTGGCTGGCTCAGCAGGAATTGGCTAAGATTTAATCCATCTATGGGCAGGCTGGTTGTACCCAAGTCGATCCATGGATTGACTTCAGTACAACCAGCCAGTCTGATTTTTCTGTATGCAATATAGCAGCTAGCAGTGATCACTGTGTTCTGCTAGACAGGAAGGCTCCCTGCCGGAAGAGCACAGTACCGCTGTGGAAGGCATTCCTCCAACAACACTTACTGTTGCTGCTCATCCCTTGTGATAGCAATAAAGTTGATTACAAAAATAATAATAAAGAGACACTGTAAAAAAATACATTTAAATAAAATAAACAATAAAAAAAAAATTAATAAAGATAAAAATCTCTTAATAAGTCTAAAGCTGGCCATACATGGTTCAAAATTCAGCCGGTTTAGCAGGAATCAGACACATTTTGATCAGTATTTAGCCCTCTCTGTTCAACAGAACGGTCCTGCTGGAAAATCTGCATTCGGTCAACGTGCACAGCCAATGGGCTGCAGCACTGATCAATGTGTTCTCATGGATTCAGAGGGAGTCCCGCTGTCAGAATACAAGGACACAGTGGTGAAGATTTACATTTCAGGTGGATGAGGAAATTGGTTCCCTTTTTTGTATAGCCACCAATCTGACAAAAAAAAAACCAAACCATGTCTGGCCAGCTTAATGGAGAAGTATGGAATAGTAGAAATATACAACATTAACTACCCTCACCACAGAATAGCTGTTCTTTCTTTCCTGTTTTGTTCCAGTTTTGCTGTATCCTCATTCCAAGTCCTGCTTAGGGCTGAGTAAGGGTCCTCTTCAGGTTTAAAAGTTTACAGTGGGTGGTTACATCTGGAGTGGGCCGCTCCGTCATTCACTCCTCCTTCAGCTCTCAGATATGACCCTGCTTTCCCCACAGAGCCACAAGGTGTCTCAGCTGTGACCCTGCTTTCCCCGTAGAGCCACAAGGTGTCTCAGCTGTGACCCTGCTTTCCCCGTAGAGCCACAAGGTGTCTCAGCTGTGACCCTGCTTTCCCCACAGAGCCACAAGGTGTCTCAGCTGTGACCCTGCTTTCCCCACAGAGCCACAGGGTGGAACGTGGATACCTGTCAGGAAGGAAGGAGGACGGTGAGAAGCTGCCTGTGTGTGTGAAGAAACTGGGAGAACAGCCTGGGTGGAAGAGGAAGGAGGGGGGAGTGTGAGAAGAGCTGAAGCACTGCTGAAGTCTCCAGAGCGTGCAGACTGTCATGAGCCAACGTCAGTCATAAGAAGGGTGTGGATAGTGACTTCAATGTTGAGATGATGCTG